GGGTTCAAGCAATTCTTGTGCCTCAGCCTCCTGAGTAGCTGGGATTACAGGTGCCCACCACCATACCTGGCTAATTTTTGTATTTTCAGTAGAGATGGGGTTTCGCCATGTTGGCCAGGCTGGTCTCAAACTCCTGGCCTCATGTGATTTGCCCACCTCTTCCCCCCAAGTGCTGGGATAACAGGCCTCCCTCAAGTGCTGGGATTACAGGTGCGAGCCACCACGCTCAGCCAGAACTTTATTTCTTTTTAAGGCTGAAGCATATTTCGTTGTATGTGTGTGGCACATTTCATCCATTCATCTGTTGATACATTGGGGTTGCTTCTACCTCTTGGCTATTGTGAATAGTGCTGCAATGAACATGGGTGTACAAGCACCTGCCCTAGTCCCTGTTTTCAGTTCCTTTGGGTAAAGACCTAGGAGTGAAACACCATCTCCTTTCAACTACCTCCCCCATCCTGGCAGCTCACACCAAGCCAGAAAATTAACTCTGGTCCTAAAAATAGATGGAGTTTTAGATGTTCTAGGACAAGCTAACTGCAGTTTGACCACTTAGGAGTACCTGTGTGAGTCCTTTGTCTCTTCAAAGCCCAAATGATGCCACTTTTCTTTGCAAGTAGCCAGTCCCCCGTGGAGGGCAGCTTGTGGAGAAGGCAGACACCTACGAGGCAGAAATGTCCTCAGGGAGGTTCCTGCTGCCCCCCTCCTCCCCAAAGAGCAGAAAGAGGGAAAAACCCCCATTGTGGCTGAGGAGAGTGGTCCCTTCGGGAAGAAGGAGAGAGAGAATTAGCCTAGTGAGCTTTTCCTGTGGGGCAGGCACTGGGGTAGGAGATTATCTGGTTGCTCATTAAAGCCCCGGGAGTATCATTGCTCCCATTTTATAGGTCAGAAAGCTGGCTCTGAGAAGGCGTCTTATGGACTCAAGAGCTCAGTGGCTGACACCGAAAATGCAGAAATGAGGAAATACCAGCAGATGATGCTTCCTGAAAAGGGGACACACAAAATGCTATGGGAATTTAGGACAGGGGGGGATGCCGCTACTTCGGGGTTCAGGGGAGTTTTGGGGAGAAGGTGGGCCATGCAGCCAGACCGTGAAGGGTAATTTTATTTCCACAAGAAGATGGAGTGGGGAGGGGGGCAGCAGGAATAGATGCTGTAAATCGGTTTAGAATTCTTTTCTGTTCTACCTGGTTAAATCCTGGAGTCCAGGAACTCCTGCCTATATTACAATGGCACAGGCGGTTTCCTGGGAAGCCGACTCCGATGGAGATTAGAGAGCAGGATGTTTACAAGGGAGTGCCTTTAGGATCAGCGCCTGAGGAAGGGAGGGGAAAGGAAGGGAAGGAAACTGGACTACAATTCAGGCCCATGAAGGCCTCAGCCAGGAACCAGGGAGCTCTGGAGCTGGGCGGGCCCTTCACGTGTCCCAGTTGAGACGAGGGAGCCTGACCTTCCTCCATGCATCGGGGATACCGGCTGCCCTTGAAAAGAGGCACGATCTTGGGGGAGGCAGTTATCTTCAGCCATGATAATCCCCCAAGAGAGTTGACAGCTGAGACCTCTCCAGCTGACAACCCCTCCAGCATCTGGAGCAATCAGCTTTCCTTTCCCAAAGGGGGATCTGAGCCGCACATCACAGGGTCCACTGGGCACTGACTCACCAGGGTTCTCCCTGCCCTGCTGTTCACTCAAGGATGAGGACAGTCAGGCTCCCTGGACCTCTGTCTCACCTCATCCAGGCTGTGGTTTAAAAAAACAGAATCAGCTTAAATGTGTTGAGTAGTTCATACATGCAACATGTTTGATATTAGAAACGAAGAAAAATATATTAGTTTTTAAAAATTTTATGAATTTTTATTGATTTGTGTTTCCTCTGTGGATATTTTTAATATTCCTTATACTTAAAAACATTTTTTCTATTTTAATTTTTGTGGGTATGTTGTAGGTATTTGTGGGGTACAGGAGATGGCAATGCATAATAATCACATTATGTAAAATGGGGTAGGCCAGGCACGGTGGCTCATGCCTGTAATCCCAGCACTTTGGAGGCCGAGGCGGGCAGATCATTTGAGGCCAGGAATTTGAGACCAGCCTGGCCAATATGGCAAAACCCCTTCTCTACTAAAAATACAAAAATTAGCCAGGCGTGGTTGTGGGTGCCTGTAATCCCAGCTACTTGGGAGGCTGAGGCAGGAGAATCGCTTGAACCTGGGAGGCGGAGGTTGCAGTGAGTCGAGATCATGCCACTGCACTCTAGCCTGGGCAACAGAGTGAGACTCTGTCTCAAAAAAAAAAAAAAAAAAAGAAAGAAAAAGAAAAATACATTTGTTCTTATTAATTGGTTTATTTGATTAATGAGAAAGAGTGTTTATTCATCCAAAATGCAAAATTTTAGATACAGTATGTATTTTAAGATATATCTGAGAGTGCAATAATGTGTTCTGATGTTATTACTTTTCAGTGGGATTCCCAAGGAAGATGTTAAGACATCTATAATATTTGAGAGCAAAATTAACACAGCTCCAGCCCGTGGGCAAGTTAGAGACGGGAGTAGTGTCTGTGGAATGGAGGAAAGCAGAGGCTGCCGCTGACCATCCTGCAGCCCTTGCTCTGACTGCTCCCAGTTCTCCACCTCCTCTGGACTTTGTCACGTCAGTGTGAGTAGTTAACTTCTAAGGAGCTGGAGGACTGATCTCAGTAAGCCAGTGACCACCGCCTGCATGTTCAAGAAAATAATCAAAGTGAGTCTTTGATAACCTTCATCTATCTGTTTTTCTTGCAGATAACAACTCGAATTGACTTAAACAAAAAGAAAAGATATTGGTTTATGTACCTAAAAAGCCTAGGTGGCTTCAGGAAGGGCTGAATCCAAGGGTTTAAAATATTATATTGGCTTTGCCTCATCTCAGTTGCTCCATTTTTCAGACAGGCTCTTCTCTCGCAGTGGAAGGTGGATGTAGCAGCTCCAGATTTTTTCATGTTCAGCTGGAAATAGAAAACCCATTTTCCAGGAGCTTGAGCAAAAGTCCTGAGGTTTGATCAGCTTCAGCAGCCCACAGTCATGTGACTGCCTCAGTCAATTACCATGACCAGGAGAATGAACTATGTTAATTGTCACGCATTGTAACCCTGGATTCTGGGACAGAGCTCCTCCCTTCTCCCCTTCAACATATGGACTGACCCAAATCAAAGTTAGAAACTGTGGAGAGAAGAGATGGCAGACACAGCTAACTGCTGTGGTAGATTTTGGGGGATTGGAGCTCAGCATCTTCCACCCTTCTTCTGTGGTGCCTTCCTGTAACTACAGGGGATTGAGAGCTAACAATCACATTTTTCAGACTCTCTTGCAGCTATAATTTCAGCTGTGACTTGATTCTGCCCATTGGATGCTCTCCTGTGACATTTAAATGACTGAAGTTGGGGGGGGTTGGCAAGATTCTATTAGAAAATTTGGTTGGGGAAGTGTTTGGTTTCTCTGCAGTAGCCAGGGTGGACATCTCAGTGTGTGGTCTCTGGCCCTGCGGGTGTTAAGAGGCTGAGTCACCTTTTGGGTGGTGTGCCCTATGGTGGGCACCGTGTAGTCAGTGTAGATGGCAACACTGTCTGGGGGCTTCCTGAGTTTGACCGTGGGAGTCTGGTTATGGAGCCCTTGGCTTTCTGAGCACAGACCAAGCAGCAGCTCGCTTGGTGGCCCAGGTCTGCAGGGTGACCGTTAGGATCTCTTCAGCCTCCACAGCAATTTTGTGGGCCAGTTAAGACTCAGAAACAAATTCCACTTGCTTTGCTCAGCAAGAATGAACTGAATTCTTGCACCTGAGCCATTCTGTGCACTTGAACCCTCTCTCCATCCCTTCAGCTGTCTGCTCCACACCACCCCCTCACCCTGTCCTTCTTCCTTGCTGGCAGGGCCCACTCCCTCCAGAGAGGCTGTGTCTATACAGAGTGGGTGTGTGTGAGAAGGAGAACATTCCTGAATATTTTCTGCCCTAATAAAAAGAGACATTGGAGAAAAATCTCCCCTCCTGCTTTTGGATGTGGCTGGGGGAGAATGTACTATGTGGCACTAAAGCAGCCTTTGTGACACCCTGTGGCAATAGGCCTGAGGACATCAGCCAATGTAGGAGAGATGACAGGAAGGAAATGAGAAGTTCTGAGTCCTTTACGGCACTGAGGTGCCACTAAATTAACACATCTTGGAACTGGAACTAGTTATGAGAATTTTCTATTGTTTAAGCCACTTACTTTCTTTCTTTTTTGTTTTTTTTGAGATGGACTCTTGCTCTGCCACCCAGGCTGGAGTGCAGTGGCACAATCTCGGCTCACTGCAAGCTCCGCCTCCCGGGTTCACGCCATTCTCCTGCTTCAGCCTCCTGAGTAGCTGGGACTACAGGCGCCCGCCACCACGCCCAGCTAATGTTTTTGTATTTTTAGTAGAGACGGGGTTTCACCATGTTAGCCAGGATCTCGATCTCCTGAGCTTGTGATCCACCTGCCTCAGCCTCGCACAGTGCTAGGATTGCAGGAGAGAGCCACCATGCCCGGCCCTGTTAAAGCCACTTTCAACTGGGTTGTGTTGCTACCTGCAGCTGGAAGCGATGTCCATATCTTTTTGTCTCTATCTCTCTATCTCCACCTATACCTATACCTATACCTCTAACTATCTATACCTATATATCCACCCAACGGGTTCACCTTGCCTGCTGCCTAGACAGAACTGATTTATCAAGACGGGAATTGCAATGGAGAAAGAGTAATTCATGTAGAGCTGGCTGTGTGGGAGACTGAAGTTTTACTATTACTCAAATCAGTCTCCCCGAGCATTCAGGGATCAGAGTTTTTAAAGATAGTTTGGTGGGTAGTGGCTTGGGAAGTGGGAAATGCTGATTGGTCAGTTGGAAATGGAATCATAGGGGGTCGAAGTGAGTGTTTCTTGCTGTCTTCTGTTCCTGGGTGGGATCGCAGAACTGGTTGAGCCAGATTATGGTCTGGGTGGTGTCAGCTGATCCATCAAGTGCAGGGTCTGTAAAATATCTCAAGCACTGATCTTAGGTTTCACAATAGTGATATTATCCTCAGGAGCAATTTGGAGAGGTTCAGAGTCTTGGAGCAAGAGGCTGCATGACCCCTAATCTGTACATTTCTTTTTCTTGTTGTTTCTTTTGAGACGGAGTCTCACCTCTATTGCCTAGGCTGGAGTGCAGTGGTATCATATCAGCTTATTGCAACCTCCTCCTCCCGGGTTCAAGTGATTCTCCTGCCTCAGCCTCCAGAGCAGCTAGAATTACAGGCATGTACCACCATTCCCAGCTAATGTTTGTATTTTTAGTAGAGATGGAGTTTCATTATGTTGGCCCGGCTGATCTTGAACTCCTGGCCTCAAGTGATCCGCCCGCCTCTGCCTCCCAAAGTTCTGAGACTACAGGTGTGAGCCACCGCGCCTGGCCCTAAACTGTAATTTGTAATCTTGTAGCTAATTTGTTAGTCCTGCAAAAGCAGACTGGCCCCCAGGCAAGAAGGCGGTCTTTTTGGGAAAGGGCTGTTATCAATTTTGTTTCCGAGTCAAGGCATGAACTGCATTCCTTCCCAAAGTTAGTTCAGCCTATGCCCAGGAATGAACAAGAACAGCTTATAGGTTAGAAGCAAGATGGAGTTGGTTAGGTCTGATTTCTTTCACTCTCATGATTTCCTTAGTTATAATTTTTGCAAAGGCAGTTTCAGCTATGCTGATCTTTATACTTATCTATATCTATCTATTTCTGTTTCTAACTATATCTATATCTAGACCTGTTTATATCTGTATCTATGTATATACCTATACCTATCTATATCTATATCTAATCTATATATCTATATCTGTATCTGAGGATGGAGATGGAGGGAGTGGAGGAGGGGAACAAACTCCAATTCTGCTAACGTTCCTTGTGGAATGAGCAGCTTTGGTGTAGACAGGTAGCCACAGCCTTTGGGTTGTTTGGGAGGGATTCAGAGATTGATCTTTTGGCTTCTTTAGTTGAGGCTATTGAGCTTGGTGGAGGGGGATGGTAGGGACTTCTTGGCTGGTTGACATGAGTGGTACCACCCTCATACCTCCCATTTTCATTCCCACTTCATGAAACAGTGTTGCTCTTACTCATGCATTTCCAAGGCTTCTTGTGCCTGTTTTCTCACACGATCTTCATATGAAACCTTCAACGCAAATATTATTTGTCCTGTATTTCTGATGAGAGAACTAGGACATAGACTTAAATTACTTGGCCAGTCTCGCACAGCTAATTAAGGGAGCCACAGGTGTGTGACCCTGCTCTAGTTTAATTTCTGCTGCACCACATTGCTGACTCTAAACTTTGCCAAACTGATTTGTAAATGGGGCCTATCATGGGGAGGGGGGAGGGGGGAGGGATTGCATTGGGAGTTATACCTGATGTAAATGACGAGTTGATGGGTGCTGACGAGTTGATGGGTGCAGCACACCAACATGGCACAAGTATACATATGTAACAAACCTGCACATTATGCACATGTACCCTAGAACTTAAAGTATAATAATAATAATAAATAAATAAGTAAATTTTAAAAAAAAAAAAAAAAGAAAGAAAAAAAAAACAAAAAACCAAAAAACATATTAAGCACCTAGCGGGGAAACAGAGCTGTGGGCTCACCCTCTTTGTTCCAAAATGGGCAAAGAGCTGTAGGAAAGACCACTCTGGTCTCCTTGGGACCACATCCTGGTTTCCACCCTTTGCACTCAACAGGGGCGGGAAGTTTCTGGCACAACTGCCATTTGGCTCATTTGTTTGCCAGAACAGAAACTTTCTCAAGCACACTCAAGTAAGGGGCGCTTGGGGCAGTGAGTTTGATGTTGCACCAAGTGGAGTGCTGTGGAGCATCCCACAGATATCCACAGATATCTAACAGATATCTAAGACAGGAGCCAGATAGGGTCAAGCCTTCCAGGGGCCATGTGGCGGGGAGGACAGCAGGTGGCTCTGGAGCCTGTCTGGTTTGCTCTGAAGACCCTGCAGTGGCATTGGCCACCTTCATCCCAGGCCCCTTCAGGTGCCTTGGCAAACTCAGGGCCTGCTCCTTCCCATCCTGCCACCAGCTTCTTCCCTGACTCCCTCTTGCCTTTGGCTATTCATGCCCTGTCTGGCTTACTCCACATCACCAGGAGAAAGGCATATTCAACAGAGCAGCGTGCAAACAGCAATAGATGTAAAACAATACTGTCTCCGGCCATACCCAGTGGAGTGAGGCTGCTCTCATCGCCATGAGAGAGAAGCCAAGTGACCCTAGCCCGTGTCCACATAGGGCCTGAGGGTCTGGGTCACCAGCTTGGCAGATGGCCCCTCCCAACCCTCCTCCAGTCAGTGTGGAGAAGGAGGGGATGGCAAGAGCGCAGGGTCACATGGCATACATCCTGGGATCCTGGGTTCAGCCCTTTATCAGGGGGCAGTTCCTGTAGGAAGATGACAGGTGGAAGGCACCATGAAACTCCCCACAATCCCCAGCCTGGGCCCTGAGTCCCACTCTCTCCTGCAACAGTGGAACTTCCTGGGCAGCTCTGTCTTTGCCAGTCTCACAGATGAGCTTTGAGGAGGAAGCTTGGTTCTCAAGACTGTTGGTTCTCAAGACTGTTGCCCCGGGTTACAGCTGAGTA